TTCTAGATTAATCCTAATTCCTATAGTGCTAATAATGAATCCTAGGAACTTAACTTCCTTCTTATAGAATTCGTATTTCTTAGGTACAGTCTTAAATCCTACTTAAGTAAATCGTTTAAAGACGTCCTATACTATTCGTATATAGTCCGCAAGAGCTCCCTTAGTATAGACTAAGATGTCGTCTATATATACGATAACGTATATATCTAGGAGGTCTCGGAGGACTTCGTTTATAAGGTCTTAATATAACGCTAGGGCATTCGTAAGTCCTATAGGTATAACTAAGAATTCGTAAAGCCTATATCTTGTTCGGAATGCTGTTATCTACTCGTATCTAGCTACTATACGTATTGCGTAAAACGCGTCGCGTAGGTTAATCTTCGTATACTAGTCTAATCTAGTTAATCGGTCTTATATTTCTTCGATATTCGGTAATAGGTACTAATTCTTAATCGTAATATCGTTAAGTCGTCTAAAATCGACTACTAGCCGTCCTTCGTCTAATCCGGCTTTTAGAACGAATATTACTAGTAAGGCTACCGAGGATATCGACTTCCGTATCTAGCCTTTTTCTAGTTTCTCTTTTAGCTACTTGTCTAGGGTTTTAAGCTCTTTCTTAGATATTGCGTATAAGGGTCCCTATAGAGGCTCTTTCCTAGGCTGTAAGTGTATCTTATAATCCTATAGTTAGTATTTAGGTAAGGCCGCCTTACCTCTCTCCTTTTTAAAGAGTCGCTTCTACTTACTATACTCTTTAGGAATGTCTAGGTCCGAGATTCTAGTTTTATTCTTTAATAGCGTATAACTTCTATCCTTCCCGTAATTATTATTATAACCCTCCTAACCTAACGGTAGTATCGATCTGGGTTGAATACGGTTCTCCGTAATTCCTATCGACGTAAACGTCTTATAAGTCGCCCTACGTTTGTTAATCTTATCTATCTACGAACGCTGCCGCTATATAGGTTAAATACCGATTATATAGTCGTATTCCTTAAATATAAGTACTTCTCTTCTCTAGTCTACGACTAGGTTATACTTTCTTAACTAAGGTATACCTAATATAATATTATAACTAGCTATATTAGTAATATCTAAGACAATTTCCTCGTAGTGCTATTAGATAGCTAGTAGTAACGGTATCGTCTCTCGTTCTATACTAGGTAGCGGTAACCTATCTACTACTATAAGTTTATACGCTCCTTCTCTTCTACTTCGGGTTGCGATCCCTCGGCTTTTAACGAATAATTCGGAGGCAAAGTTCCCGCTCGCTCCGGAATCTATTAATATACTCGTCGGGTACCCGCTAACGATAACTTTTATACGGAAGACTGCTATTAATGCTTAAGCGCTTTCGGTATTAAGGAACTCTCTTAGAACGCTCTAATCTAGAGAGTTAGTCTGTTTCCCGACTAGTTAGTAGCCTAACGTTATTCTAACTAGCTACGGATCCGTAGTCCTACCGTTCGTGCTTCTTCGGTATATAATTATTATTTTCTTCGAGGGTATCGTTATATATATCTCGTCCTTACGCTACTATAGCCTTTCGGTATTACTAATTTAGTCGCTAGACCGCCTAATGTATATCTTAAGTAATAATCGTCCTCTCGTTAGGTAGAACGTATCCGTAGGGCGTAATTATACTTCCTATCGGTACTCGCTTTATAATAAAGTTATAGTACGTATAGTCTATAGGTATCCGGAGGTAATTCTAGAATTTTGCCCGTAAGCTTATCTAGAAATAATTGAATTAAATAGGATCGACCCTCTATTATCTATTAACCTTTAGAAACATTTCCTCGTATTTGCGTACTAGATATAAGGCGATTGTTGGCGCTACTATAGGTATATCTATTATAAACGTAAGGATCGTATCGTCGTTAATCCCGAATTCGTCTTTACTTTCTTTATTTGTAGTTTCTTCCTCGGTATCTAGACTTTCCTCTAAATCTTCTTACTATTCCTCCTCTTACTAAGAGGACTCCGGTACTTCTAGGATAGCTCCTAACTCCTCTTCGAGAGGGAATAAAGCTTCTAGATCTCGGTTTTCTTCGTCGTCGGCATTTAAGTAAGATTTATTAATCGTTTCTTCTTCTACCTAGGATTTCGTATCTTCTTATATAAGTCGCCTATTCTAAGGGAAAAATCCTATATCTATCTTAGTAGAATAATAAATTTAGTATTAGTCGTCGTAATAGAATCTCTAGTAAAGGGTTCTATATATAGGTTTTTGTCGTCGTGCTATTATATAGATTTGTCGTAGCTCTTTCTTTACGACCTCTATATAGGTCCTTAGCGCACTATTAATAGAGTATAGCCCTACTACTATTTAGTAGCCTCCTCTACCCGAGTCTTTTCGTTATATTATATTAAACTGTTCGCGTCGTACTATATTCTTACCGCGGTAGTTCTATACTATATAGCCTTCCTTACTATATATATAGCAAGTTAATCTTCCTACTTTCTTAGGCGAACTCTTGCTCTTTTTTCCTTTAAATACTCGACCCTTCTAGGTAGCGTCTAGCTCTATTAGTTACGCGCTATAGTAGTTGTTTCTCTTTAGTTTATTATAGGTACTATAGTTTCGTCTATTATTATATCTAGGAGTATAACTAGCTTTTCTAGAAGTCTTAGAATCGTAGCGTCGTTCTAAAGCTCGTTTATAGAGCCTATCGTCGAGATCGATCGTAACCTTAACTAATATTCCTATATTATCTATTTTTCTACCGTCGTATATAAGCTTATCCTTAACGTTGTCCTTAAGACCTTACCGATATATTATTATAAGAGCTTCGTCGTCCTAATCCGTAAGTTAGGCGTATTCCTAGAATTTAGCGGCGTAATCGGTATATAACCCCTTCTAAGTTAAGTGTTAGATAACCCTAACTGCGGTAGTAACCTCGTTAGAAGATCCGAAGACCTTCTTTATCGTACGCTTAAGATATTCGTAGCTTGCGAAGATTCTATTCGAATTATCGGTCCCGTTACTATCTAGATAGGTCCTAAGAAATAGTTTAACCTAATACTAAGCCCTACCTCGTATAAACGTTGTTACGAAAACTAGCTTTAAGTTGTTTTAAACCTAGTTAAATATAAAATATATATCTATCTAGCTAACCTAGGTATCGAACTTGTCCTAGTCGCTATAATAAAAGTCTAGCTTTCCGATCTTAAGGGAATCGTTTCTAGTATAGGTTCCTAGTATACTACTAATACTAGAGGTAGTACGTCGAGTACTACCTATCTCGCTAGGGGCGGGAGTTTCCCTTCCGACTTGTAATAAGGCACTTATCCTAAGGGCGTTTAAAGTGTTACGGTTACTCGCGATAGATCGTTAGGTAACTTCTTATTACGTATAAGCCGAGGCTTCTTTAGAGAGGCTAATATAAGCAGGAGGTAGAGATAGAATAATTAGTATAAAGGTAATTCTAATTAGTAAGTAGGTAATATAAGTTAAACGCCTCGAGCTATAAAGGTATCCCGGCGTTCCTAAATATAAAAGAGATATCTTGTCTATAGTCGTAAGCGACGTAAGCGACGCTATCGCTCTCGACCGCTCCTATCGCTCCTAGTAAGATAGAGCGATAGCTTAGCCCGCTAGTCTTAGCGTCGCTCTAAGATTATATAAGGACTCTAACTAATTAGATCCGTAATAACAAGCTAGAAGGAGCTAGTAATAGCGTATTAGAGCGTAACTAATATATTCTCCTTTATAATATTATTAATAACTTTAAGAAAGACTTCTACTATCTAGTAAGAGTAGTATAGTTAATAAATAACCTCTCGAAGAAGGACTATAATAACTATATTTAGTACCTCTATAAGTACTATTCGAAGGTCGTCGGTAAGGCCGTTTAGTAGTTATCGATTAAATAGTAGCTCGAGAATATAAACTTAGCTAATAATAATAGTAATAATAATAACCTATAGGCGTAAATTAACTAGGTACGCGATAACTTCTTAATAATAATATAGTAGACGACGATAATAATATCGATAAGTAGGTTCTTAGCTTAATAGCTAATCTAGTAGAAGCTACTTATATAAGTAAGACTAGGCTTAGTACGTAGGCGCCGCCGCCGCTATTATTCTTATAATAACCCTTTATTACGACTTAGCGTACTACGCGCGTATTAGATAGCTTCTAGTTAACTACTAGTAGTAATATAGAATATATTAGTCTATATATATTAAAAAGTAAAGACTACTTACTAATATAATACCTAGCGTAAATACTACCTTCTACGCTATTTATACCTTCTATACGAAGCCGCTTATAATATAATACTACTATCGATACTATAAGTAATAGCTAGTCTAAGAACCTTTTGTAGAATATACTAATTTGACTACTTTCTAACGCGGATATATAATAGTAGAACCGCCGCTTTAATCTATACTATAATCTATAGATAGGTATATAAGAGTACTATAATAGATAGCTACTATAGGCGCTAACTAATAAGATATTAAAAGAGTAGGTAGAGTAAGTACGATTATAGCGATAGTAAGGTAGATAGATAGATAATTAAGGCAAGAGTATATTAATAATACCTCTATTTTACTATACTATTAATACCTTACTAATACTTTAGCTTTATTTTAAACTAGTACTAGTAGCGGCGATAGTAGGTACTAGTAGTGCTAGTAGTACTAGCGGTGCTACGCTATTCCTAAGGAAGAGCTAAAAGTAGGTGCGTTTCGTTATAATTATTAGGAACCGCGTACTTCCGAGGGCACGTGCGGCCTTGGCGGTGCCAGAATACAGACACCCCTCGGGCGACGTACCTAGGCAGGAGTGCAGCCAATCAGCGCGAGTTGCTGATGTGCAGACACCCAACACTTGTGGCTTGGCTTGGGTTGGCTTGGCAAGGCCAGCAAGCATGACCTCCGATCTGACTGGGGGCACGAACTCAATGGGAAGCCGGCGAGTCGCGAAACAACAACAACTGGTTACTGCACCGCACAGGTCAACCTAAACCCCGGTAGCATTATTCAAGATGAGCGAGTCGGAGAAGGTGCAGACGCAGACTGTCGAGTCCAAGGTACGTACATACTTCCGCATCATGTCAATGTCAATATTGGAATACCACACACATAGTCCGACCCACCGAGAACTAACCCACTTCTTCCTCATCAGACCGCCGCCGACTATCTCGACCCCACAAACGAGCCAGAGCCGTCGGAAGAGACCGGCCTGGGCACGCACTTCGGCAGCACTTTCGACCCGAACATGAAGAAAGAAGCGCCCAAGCAGCCAGAAACGGCCAAGTCGGCAAAGGAAAAGCTCGCCACCACGTCTTCCACCATGACCACTGCCCAGCTACAGCAAGCGGCTACCGAGGGCGATCCAAACAACTTGATGCAGACCAAGAGATAGAATGGATGACAGGCACTCAGAAGCCGGCAGAGGGACCGAGCGAATTCATCATTAGATACACCACCAGCTCAGCGCGGAGAAAGGTGGCGAAAGCACGACGTATGGACATTGACCAGGGATGGCATGTTCTGGCCGCACCCCAGTCCGACGTCTCCCTACGCACAATTCATATACCCAGTGTATTCCGCATTTGCGCTGCTCGTGTAGTGCCAGCTCCCCAAAGGTGCCAGTGTTCCCTCGCCATACATTCGAAATCCTGCATTTGGAGCAGTCACTTCGTTGCGCCACTGTTCGCCCTGCTGTCAGCTCGCGTCAGCTAGGAAGCTGCTAAGGTTCCTACGCAGCACGCAAATCTTCCTTCTGCACAGCCAGCCAGCCCGGTATAGCCATGATGGCGAGAACAGTAGACGTGAGTCTGAACATGTTGACGGCTCAAGGTCTTGATGTAGCGATAGACACTGCACTTATGAGTCTGACCAAGACAGATTTGTTGCTCGCATTGCCTCTCGGAGAACGTGAGGGCACATCTACAGCGCTCAAGCACTCGACCCGAAGTGGAAGCTGGCCGAGGTCTCGCTATTGTGAGCGTACAGACATCGATCGCCCAAGCGAAGAGGAATAAGAGCATTCGCATGACAATCCCTGCGACGAGGCACGATATGGCGCTAGCTGTACTGCTAGCGAGGCAACAAATAGTCGGAGAGCGCAAGGAGCGAAGAACAAGAAGTCCAGAGGCGTATGTGGGAGGAAGATTAGGATGGGTCAATAACGGCCCTCCACTCCTGCTCCTGCTTCGTGACAGCAAGCACGCACGGACAGCGCGAAGATACGGGGACGAGCTCGGAGGAGACCAGATGCCACGACGGAACTTTGTCGGCAAAGGAATCCAGGACGCCTTCTTACTCCCTGGTGCATGCACTCGTGATCAAATCGTGACTGGCTTCTGTACACTCGCTGCGTAACACTTGCCAAAGACTATCACTTCCCGCCCTCTCTGGAACTGTCTTAGATGTAAAGCTCATTTCAGCTATGGCATAGCTCGAGAACTGATCAGGCTTCCTCAAACTCCTTCAGCCGCGAGAACCGTCCCATCGTTCGCGACCGCCAGCTTTTGTCTCTTCAGAGACTCCTTCACAGGCCGTCGGGCCTCAAAGATCTTGTCAAGCTCCTCTAACGTACGACCTTTCGTCTCCGGAAGCAGAAAGTAGAAGACAGTTGCCTGCACCGCACACCAGACGATGAAAACGATGTATGTCTTCCATCCGATGTTGTGGAGGGAGATTGGCCAGGCGAATTGATTGAGCAGACCACCGGCATTCACAGCCAAGCTAGAGAAAGCCATCCCTTTAGCTCGCCCCTCGAAGGACAACACCTCGACCGGATAAAGTGCTTGCAGGGGCGTAAGACCAACAGAAAAGACGGCTCCAAAGATGAAGATGCAAGCAACTGTAGCCTTCGCTGCAGCATCATTCGTTTGCCCACTAAAGTTTCCCAGTTTGACCGTCAGCAACGTTCCTAGGACTACAATCGGGTGCACAGGATGGTATACGTACGTTTCATTGAATACTCCCGTAGCAGCAGTCACGCCAATCCAGACGATACAACATCCCGTCATCGAGAAGAGCATCAGCGGTCTTCGGCCGATACGCTCAACAAAAGCCGCGCCAGTCAATGCGAACGCAAATTGGAAGCATGCGTAGCCAAGATTGATGTTGGCTTGCTCAATACTGCCGGTATATCCTGCTGTATTCAAGACCTGTTTCGAAGGTCAGCAAACGTTTCAGACACTGAGGTGCCCTCAAAAGATTGCTTCCTTACCGCAGGTAGGAAGTAGGAGAGCACGCCATTGCCTGCCCATTGGGCGAAGATGCTGAACACGCAATTGCATAGGATACGATATCGACCAGACCTGGAGGCAAAGAGGGCTGAGTAGTCCCAGAATCGTTTGTCCTGCCGAGCACATGTCAGTTTGTAGAAAATATTGACAGCGGTGGTCGAGCACTTACTGCACCATTCGTGTTGAGATACTCCTCGTACTCAGCAATTTGAAGCTTGACCCATACGCTTTCAGGGTTACCGAGACCATGCCATTTGGTGAGCGTGTTGATGGCCTTTTCGCGCTTATTGTTCACGAACAACCATCGAGGACTTTCTGGGATGAAGAACACAAAGAGCACGATCAGGCCAGGGAAGATGAGTTGCATGTATACCGGAATCAGCCAAGAAATATTGCCGGCCAAGTTGAGACCACCTCGAACAGCGCCAGCGGCTAAGATTGACCCGGTGAACCAGAAGGTGTTGCAGTACGCCTGGTGAAGAGTTAGCGCATGACTACTGGTCGCTGGCTAGCTGAAAGCCCTTCTTACCGTAATGATCCCTCTCCAAGAAGGATGTGCGGTTTCAACAACGTAAATCGGTCCTGCTGCAGATACGATTGAGACGCCAAAGCCTAGTAAGAATCGACCACCTTTCAGCTGTCCGTCATCGGCAGTGAATACTGTGGTACCATTGATGATGGTGCCCAAGATTATCAGGCAGGCACCAATGATCATTCCAACTTTTCTGCCCCAGGAATCGATGGCCGGGCCCACAAAAGGCAGAGCGCAAACACCTCCGATCTGATACATGGCAGAGTTGATGGCCTGCCATTCTCCGTCGACAGAACCACCAAAGAAGTCCAGGAACCGGGAATTAGCAGTCAAGCCCCCGAATAAAGAGCCATCAAAGCCGTTCATGGTCTGGCAAAAGCATCCGAGCAAGAGACATCCGATTAATCTCAGCGTCGTCGGATGGAAAATTCTGGGGGGCTCCTTGAGCTGCGCTTCGTGAAATGCTTCACTGCCTTTCACAACACGCATGTGAACAAGACCGGGCTGCGACGTCGTCAATCATCAGCGCTCATGGTCCCAGCTGAGTGGCTTACCTCCTTCTCGTTCACGATCTCCACCATACTGGTCGCATTCTTCTCGTCTATAGTGCCCGACATGCTGGACAACACTCAATGTGTCTTCGACTGATGTTCAGGATGTCCCTTGAAGATTGTCGCATCAAGCTCCACTCGTGGCCCTCTGCAAGTATCTATACGCTCCCCGCCCAGGCTTTTGTACTACACCAGACAGCTGCACCATCTAGAGCACAACGTAGCGTACCTTGTCTGACCCCGGACAGTTCTAGGAACACGGAGTGTTGGTCTCCGCAGAACGCCACGGTCTGGGCTTCGGAGATGCGGTCCTGCTGGCCGCTCAACCGTTCAGAATAGAAGAAATGCCACCCTGACAGCTTCACTGACGCTACACCATCGCTTGCAATTTGAAGGATCGGTGTCAGAGGCTGGACTTGTGGTCGTGGCGCTGGGGTAGCGTACGTGCCGTGCCACAGAATATCCACATCCGGACGCGGAGCACTGCACTCCGCACGTTGATGGAGAAACAAGCTTTGGAGACTTCGGACGCCATCACAGGCTAATGTCAGTCAAAAGCAGAATGGCGGCAACTGTTGGACGAGATGTGGGAGCACACGGAATAAATCGCGAGGAAATGGAAAGATTGGAGCGCACCAGAATGTGACCGACATTCAAGAACAGCACTTCCCGAACCAGCATCTGAAGATGCATCTTGACAGGCAACGTGGTACCCTCAGGCTTTGTCAGACAAGGGTATGTTTATGTTTAGCCGCTCGCAGTGTTTGAGAACCACATTGCTGGCAAAGACGCCGAGGTGCCTTTTCCAGCCAGCTCATATGACCACAGAGAGCGCACATGGGTCCAGAGTTCGATTGATCCGCGCTCATGTGACAAACTCCACGTTGAAGAGATCTACGGCTTGTTGGCTTCCATCGATCCAGTTGTCAACAAAGGTGTACATCTCGTCAACGTTCACATCGGCACAAGCATCCCAGGCTGCACTTCGCTCGCTAGCGAGGCTGTGTGATGTGTTCTGGGAATTTTCAAATGCTTCATGCACGTTCTCACGACGGATTACAGCTGTATGCTGCGTGCGTAAGCCTTCGTTCGCTGGTGTTCGAGACCCGACGTAAGCCTGCGCAACAGACGAGAATATGGCGCATGCATTGCGTAAGCGAAGAGTGCTCTCTCTTGGCTCTACGACTTCTTCTAGTGATTGTTGGAATCGAATGAGAAGATCGAGATCCGAATGGTCGAAAACAGATATGGAGTGGAGGAAGACAACGACCAGAGGAGTGAACGACCCGTACAGGAGGAACCAGGTCAAATACGCGTTCACTAGACGACCTTCGCGGAAGTCGCGAACCGAGGGGAAGATCTCCAGGTGAGCAGCCAAGCCCTGACGGGCTGCGTCGTAGCATTCTTGGGTGATCACGCCGGCAGATTCAATGGTCGCGAACGTGCTTCGGTGAAGCGTGGCCAACAAGGAGTAGTAGATCACCACAGTCGTTTTCCCGCAAAGTACATCGTAAATGTCGGGATAGATAGTCTCCGCTGTCGCTTGCGGTCGTTGGTAGAGAAACCAGTGATCAAAGCCTCGAGACAGTTCTTTTACAATTGCAAGTCGCTCCTGAGGAGACTTCTTCAAGGCTCTCGCTGTATACAGACGTTCGGAGATTTGACCTTCCAAGCGAGCCAGATTGACGAAGGAGATGAGTGACTCGTCCCAAGCGGTAAAACGCGAGTCTTTACATGGCATGAGCATATCGACGTCAATGTCGTCGTCCCTTATGGTGGATGTCTGACCGAAGGTGAGTGCCAGATTCTTCTCGTACCCAAAAATAGTCCAAAACGTTCTGAGTCGGTCTTGCACCTCGTGTTCAGGAAGATTTGTGTAGCTGCCGCGCCTGTGCAGACCCATATTAAGAACATGTCGGGCGGCACAAGCCATGATTGTCCATGATCGCTTCATATTAGAATTCTCTTGAGCTCGACAGGCAGCGATGCGCAATGCCTTCACGTTCTCGAGAGTGGGGTTCGTCCATATCTCGTGGAACTGGAGGCCAGCATCAAAATTCCGCTCGCATTGCTCATATAGCGCTTGTGGATCTACACCTCGGGGGATGTTGAGATCAGGGTGCAGCATCCACTCTATCATCAAGAAGAGCAACAGACCATGCATCATAGTCAATGCTCCAACAGACATGGGCTGCGTTGGAAAGTAGGCAGCACGGCAAAGCGTCTCCACTTCGTCGATCTGTCCGAGTCCATAGGCAAGTAGCACTGTTGATGGGTGCGATTTAAAGGTTTTGAGGAGAGCGAGGACGTGGTCTACGGGTGGTAGCTGAATGTCCCTTGCATGGTCAATCGTGAGATGGACGGTGGCAGATTTGCCAGGTGAAACGGCTGTGTCGGGAGGACTGCCGCGTGAAACAACCTCCCTTAGATGTCTAAGGCCTTCCTGAGCAGCGACGAGTTGGGCATGATCTTGAGCAAGTGACTGAGAGACTTCGCCGGCACCGAGGGCTTGAGCAGCGAAGCTAGAGACTCCCTCATACACGGCCGGCAAAGTGTCAATCGTGGCTGATGTTTCTATAGAGGGTCGGGGAGATGTCGCCTTCGGGCTACCGTTACTGGCACTACTGCTGTCAACCGATTGTCGATTCGAAAGTGCGAGCAGCTGTTGGACGGAGCTCTGGATCTGCTCGATGTTCTCTGCAAGCTGGTTAAGATCCAAGGACCTGTGCTAGGTCAACAATGGTGCCGCACTCTCGGAAGAGCAACGCTTTCGTGCCTCACCCATGCGTCGTCGTCGGCTGTCGCACCGCAGTACGCTGGAGGCCAGGTCCTTGCGTGGACGGCTTGCAGTCGATGCCGGAGGTCGAACAGGACGAGCACGGATACTGTTTATCGCAACGAATCTGATTCAACGGCTTAGACTAGTGGAGATGGATGGACTCTCGGACGATACCTTTCGAATCCTGCAATTGAAGCACTGCGCATGTGTCAATAAAAAGCGACCGGTCTTCAGAGCGCCGAAGGATACTCACGGCTTTTGGTATTACTGAACGACTCCTCTCCGCTGCCATGATGTCTTTATCATTGGAATGAATGATGGGTTTGCCAAGAGAGCTCATGTCAGGAGTCAAGGTTTGCTGTCGGCCAGTGATGTGTGATGTGGTTTCGCGCCTCCATTCACACAGAAATTACATGTGATGCTGCTCATGAGATCATGTCGCCCTTTGGCCGCAAAATGACCCAATAACAGGTTGTGGCTGCCTCAGACGTCTTCGAAAGCGAAGCTACAGTCACGGGGAATAATGGGGTGGTCATCCACGGCAGCAAGGACAGGCCAGGACAAGGAAAGCCACGTTCACGGATTGTTCCTTCTGCCGAGGTCGATGTCCGAACGCCCTGGCCGTGGCCCGTATGTCAAAGTTTCCCAGCAAGCAATGAAAAGATGGCTACTGGTGATATATCATTGCTTGAGCTCTTCACTCGCGAAAACACTTCTTTCTGATCACCTCTGAGCTACACGACGGCGAGCCAGCGCCTGATCACGTCGAGGGGGGAATATAGAAGAAATGCTTCCATCTTTTCAAGGAAGTGGATGGCCTTGGGCACGGCACCATTGAGCTCATTGATCCGGATTCAAGATGTGCGGATCCTAGCATTGAGCTCATTTGGATGATCCGAATCCAAGACATACGGATCATACATCTTTGAAATGGGCTTCAGTCTTACTTACGGTGCTGTGGGGATGGTATGAAGTTGTCTCCTCGTGTGCGACCAAGACCACCACCACTAAGCACTATAGCAGGCAAGGAGAGTAGCTCTAGTTCAGGATGAGCGCCGAGGCAAATCAATAGTCGTGTTCTCCCGTAGAAGTTCGGGATTGATGATGCTGGGTCCAATATGATATCGACGAAAGACCCCCAACGGTGCCAACTTGGGCCTTCGCAGAGCATTTGCCTTTTGAAGTACACATGACAGCAGTGACATCGTTGTCGGTGATGTCAACCTCCTTTCAAAGCCATGCCATGCCAAGACGAGTCTTTTGCTAACCCTTTCTAGGCTACCGATCATCGCTTGCTTGAAGCAGGACGCCTGATGAAGCTAAATTGTATGTATCCTCGATGTTGCCTTGCAATGACCTCCTAGATCTTGCACATACACAAAGCAGTTCGGTATGGCTTGCTTGTCCGGTGTAAGACAACCGACCTCTTTGCAATAATTACAGTCCCGCAATATTGCCATTTGCTGGAATTCCAATCCTCAGCGTCCCGCAACAGTCGAGTCCTGGCGCACGCTGGAACGGATCGGCAGCGCCAATGGCGGAGGACATCGATATGGATATCGGTCCCACGACACTCGTGGCGTTGTGGAAGGATCGTAGCGCTGCCGGTTGTGAGCACATCATTCAGAGCGTCATATGCATTCTACATGCTTGATCCCCAGCTCCTGCGCCTCTGTCTCAACTTCAGGTGTTCTTCGCGCAGGCGTTACCAGACGATGCATTCCATCGGACTCATTTTACCTTTCCTGGCTTTCGTCGAGTCCGCCTTTGGACAGCTTGGCCAGTCGAATGCAACCGCTGGAGCTTTCACTGATATTCTGCTGTGCAACCAGACTTTTGCAGATGCGAACGGGGTTAGTCCTTCCTGTCTTGACTTGATCGACCTGCATACTCACCTTGCAAGACTGGCGTCTTCACAGTCAATCCCAACGTCGATCAAGGAACGCAGACGGATCAACCAGATAATGACACTGGGAAGACAAGACCTGTAGACCTGGCGGTCACGCTGGTTGAGGAACCCAACACTTCTCGTCTTCAATTGACAACATGGCTCAACCCCCGAGGTGCCAACTACAGCGACGACTTTGGCCTCGGCTACGATGTATGCGGCATGGCTATTGGGCCTTTTCCAAACAACACGCTATACAGAGCACAGTCAGATAATGGTTCCTGCTACTCTGTGCTGGATGAGACCTGCGTCAACGACATCAAGATTTTGGCGCAGCAGTTTGCCTTGGAGTTGACGTTGAATCCAACGCCGTATCCTAATAGCAACCTCACCGTCGACTCAATCAGCACGGTGTGCTCTGATATCGCTGCGAATTTGTCTTCGAATCTACCGAAAAGCTGCAAAAACTATTTTAAGGATGATACAACAGTTAGCAATGCTACTCGTGAGTATCCCCATCGTCTCCTCATGACATACCTGACACAAGGCAGCTCTGACTGGATACAACTCCTCCATACTGTACGCGAACTGCTACACGAATGTGAGCCACAATGATGCATACTACGCGATCGAGACCTCTTTCGTCGATTACAATGATGCCAACTACAATCTCCTGGGGCGAATCGCTGCACCAATTCTCGCCATTTGGATGCCTATAGCGAATGCCGAGCGACCAAGCACAATTCAGTATGCTACCGCTGAATTGATCTGCGCAGGAGTAAAGAAGTTCAATCCGGGCAGCCGGGTCGCTGCATCGCTGCCGTCTCCGACCCCAGTCGGAAGCGGTGGTGGATTGGCTGGAGGCGCGATTGCTGGAATTGTTGTTGGTGTTGTGGTCGGTGTCGCTTTGATTGCAGCTTTGGCCGTATGGTGGTTGGTTTCTCAAAGACGAAGAGCGAGGAGTAATGCGGCCGTAGAAGTGACACCGCCGGAGAAAGGAACAAGTGATTACTCTTCAACAGGAGCAGGGCCACCTGGCGATGTCAAGGTCAATGAACAAATGTCACCTACGGAAGCTCCGGATACGGCCCTATCGGAGCTGCCTCCATCAACCTCTACAAGGTCAGAATTGGACACAGGAAAGGGCGTCGAGCGTTTCGAGCTGCCTTCGGAGGCCTCCAAACCTGTGGAGCTTCCTGGGAGCGGAGCGGCCGTCCGAAATTAGCAGTCCAGTTATTCATTGATACGATACGAAAAGAAAGACGGATATATGCTCCATAAAACATGGAGGCAAGCTGCTCACGTAAGCTGGTGTTCCGTCCAAGATCGTGGTTTCTCGTTGCATGCCTTTGCACTGCTCCAACGGAAGTTGCTGGAATATATAGCAGCAATGCTTCACAGCCCTGAATTGCGCAACACATTTTTCGGTGTGATTGCCGTCCAGTGGCTACAGCACATCGGATAACGGTGTTTCCAACCGACCACCGAAACTGAAAGCCGATAAGGACATATTGTATGCCTATTAAGGTAATACTGGACCGGCCAGGGCAGATTGCTGAGCACTGGAGGAGCACGTACTTTGCGGAAATTTGCCGGAGTGTTGGAGATATATAATATGATAGAGTCCGAGTTGCCGTCGTTTTCTAGACTCTATATTGGCAATCCCATTCTCGAGACACCGAAGAACTGCTTGTAATACTCGACCCACTACATATTCCGGAGGAAACAATAGCAGCTAGAGATAGAGATCTGCGAGCACGTCTCCGAAGCTTGCGTCTCGAACTTTTCGTTGAAGATCTTCGATGAGACCTTTACATTAACGCCGACCATTGGCAGGGACTTGCGTGGTCCTGAGTTGCGATGCTAAAGGGTTTCTCAACCTCTGGAGCTCCGCTCTTGGATACTATTTCACTGGTAGATTGCGTGATGCCGATTTTGCCGATCTGGGCATCCCGAGAGCAGAATATTTGCCGTTATCCAAACATCGAAAGTGGCCTATCTTGCAATTTAGTACTAGAGCTTCAACTTGCGGCTTGCTTGCCACAGCGACGCAGGCTACACAAGAAGTAGTGAAGCACTTTTGACAGCAGACATGCATCGCAAGTGGGAGAGGGTGTGCAGGTGTACCCGTCGACGATATTCCATTTCATCTATTGATCTGCGTTGATGATTTGAGCGTGGTACTTCGTCCTGGAACTCGTAGCAACACGGTCATCGCAAAACTCGAGAGAATGCTGGCGAGCAGGATAGCAATCATAACCCAGTTCGAACCAATGTACACTGGATCCCTCGTTTTATCAGCAGGCCAACCCGAGAACAGGGCATAATTTGTCACAACTGAGCCCAAATTTCCAAGACCAGACACTAGAGCCGTGGCAGCTGCCACTCCAACCTCACCATGCCTCGGTTGGAATATCTCTGCTGTCCATGTCATAGTGATAGGTACGGTAGGTCCCAGTCCGAAACCAACTACGAGAAGCCCAAAGTAGCGAGCCCATTTGGCTGAGGTGGAATCGCCGGCATAGGTAGTGATCAGGAGACCTATGATCTGAAGAAGCGTGGGGATGCTGAACCAGATCGCTCTTTGCTTGTTAAAGTGGTCACTGATTGGCGTTACGCAAAGAATTCCAATCAAATCACAGATCCAGATGGGCGCGTAGAGAAGACTGAGCTCCACGCCACTGAAAGTTGGATTGATCGCTTTGAGGATTACAGTGCCGTATGACTGAACTCCATTACCAACACCAACCACACCAAAGTACATGACAAGCAAGGGCCAGAAGCGCCAATCAACCAGGACTTTCCACAGATCCCGCATTGTCCAGTCAGAGCTGTGGTATGCAAGACTAAGCTCTCTATAGTGAAGCACTGCATCTTCGCCTTGCAACGCTGGCTTGGTCAGTGGCAAGAGCTTGTTCAGCCAAGTGGATTTCCTCTCCTCGTCTGGCGCCAGCGGTCTTTCCGGAAGCCACCAGATCAGCGCAAATCCGCAGACCAGAGTTACCAGACCCCAGATCAAGAACATCCATTGAAAGCCAACAAGACCACCATCACCATCCAGCTTTTGGAAGCCAGCACTGACAAGACCGACTACGGCTGCAGAGACTTGAGAAGCAGTAAAGTACCAACCCACACGCTTGGCCATCTTGTGCGGAGGATAGAAGAGAGTCAGAAATAGCGACATTCCTGGCCACATGCCAGCTTCTACTGCGCCAAGCAGGAGTCTCAGCACATAGTAGCCTGCGGCGTTCTTCATGCCCACCATAGCTGTGCCGATGATGCCCACACTGATCACAATACGAGCAAGCCAAGCTGAAGGGGAAAGCTTGCTCATTGCCAGGTTGGAAGGCACCTCGAGAACAACATAGGACACGTAGAATAGTGCCAATCCCGTTGACACGCGGTGCGATGAGATGCCAAGATAGCTCCCAAGATCGTGGCCATTACTGGTGTTCATGGTCTGGGCCAGGCCGACATTTGATCGAACGGCTGAGCAGAGGAAGTAGAGGGTCCAAAAGGGAGGGATGATTCTCAAATCGAGCTTTCTGTAGATCTGGCGCATGCGCGACGGCTCGACAGGTTCGCCATTCTCAGGGGCCTCTTCGTTGATTATTCCCGCGTCCTTGTAGGGCTCTTGGGAGCCGGTTCGAAGTGGCCCAGCCATACTTGTCATCTTGCAAGACTTGTACAAGTCGGTCAGAGGGGTAGCCGATGTGAGGAGAAGGAGAAGGCAGCATGTTGATATGAGTGCGTGTCATCACCAGTGGGACGATTTCTTTTTCACCGAGAGCGGATCCTTCTGTGCAGTCGAATTGCGAAGCTTTGCGGAGCTCGGCCCGTTTCCCTCTCGCCATTCTATTCCATATCCAGGGTTCCGTCACACACTTCACGCCCGCTGATCGCGGGGTTTCTAGCCATACGTAAAATCGCTTTTTCTTAGTAGGCCACACGTAAAACTCGATAAGTGGTATATTCCAGTCCTATATAGATATCTAGGTAGGTGCAATATTAAACCGCGAGTCTAAATATAATATTAGCTAGTTTATCCGAGCGTATAGTAGTCGTAGGACCTCGCTATCGCTATTTCTTATATAATCCTTAGTAGGCGCGTCCACCTTATTCTAAAGCGTATATTCCTCGTGTTCCTCCTGTTTCTTATATTCTACTATACGGATCGTATATAAAACTCGGTATAGGGCGTAAAAGGGGCAAAAAGGTAAAAAGGGTATAGGCCGAGCGGTTAACCGAGACGGAGAGGGCAGAGAGGGTAGTAGAACGCGTCGTTTCGAAGTACTACGAATTAGAGGCTAAATCGGATAAGAAGAAGGTTAGCATTCGAGCGCTTTATAAGAGTAAGAAGGCAACTAGCCTATATTCTCGTATTTACTAGCGGTTAAGAGGCCGTAGATCGCTATTTAATCGTCTATTAACTAACACTAAACTAGACGAGTCTTAAGAGCTAGCGCTAGCGGATTATTGTCGAGAGAGGGACGTAATAGGTATATTCTTGCTAGTAGCGTTAATCGTTATCGTAGCGATAGAGATACTAGTTAGCCTATTGCTAGAGGGGATGCCGAAGGATACAATACCGCTATTTAGTATAGACTAGGCCGACCGCTTTCTAAAGCGCTATAGACTTAGCAAAGTCAAGTCTAAGCCGATTAAGGTATAGCGGAAGGAGGCTTACGACCCTTCTATAATAAGGAGTTAGTTTAACCGCTTTAAGGCGATAATTTCGCGACTAGGTATAAAGCCGCGGAATATATAGAATTTTAATAAGACTGGCTTCCGAGTTAGAATAGGTAGTAACGAGTATATCGTTATAATAGATACGAAGCGGCGCGCCTAGACCGAATGTAATAGCAACCGTACGTATATAACTATCGTCGAGACCGTTAATGCCTTCGGTAAGGTAGTAGATTATTAGTTAATTGTAAAAGGTATAATAGTCTAAGAACGGTAGGTACCGAAGGAAGGTAAGTCTATTGCTACTACCTAAGGCAAGAACGACGTTACCTACTAACTAATATACCCTCGTTCTTAGGCAAGGACAACTTCTTAATTACTGTTAATAAGTCTAGATATATAACCGACGATACTACAATGCACTATATCCGCTAGTTTAAGCGGAAGACAAGGCCTAAAGATCTAGAAGAATAGAGGGTGCTTCTATACGATAATTACGGCTTCTACTGCTTTAAGGAGTTTGCAGCCTTTGCAAAGCGGCATAAGATTTAACTATAGGGCCTATAACTACACACTTTACACTTTATGCAGCTGTTAGATATTATCCTGTTCTAGGTATATAAACTGAGGCATAGGCAAGCAGTGTTAGAGGCTATATACCGTAGTATTAGTAAATTCGGAATACCTAAGTTCATCGAGGCGCTCTCGGCTATTCGTAGCAAGACGTTTACCTCTTATAATATAAGGTTAGTATTTCGGAAGATAGGCATATTCCCAATTAATAGGGAGGTCCCTTATAGGCATATTCGAGATTAGTATAGAGCTACTAACTATAACTAGAACTAGCAAACAATTAAGGGCGAATTAGTATAGGAAGAAGTCCGCTATAATAAATCGCTAGCAATAGCGGAGGTCGCTTAGTAGGAGCATATCGCGTCGGTTAAGCAATAACGTTCCGTAGAGCCTACTATTATCGATCTAGAAGGCTAGGCTTACGCTAATAGTCGCTACTACCTCGGGGATCTCGAAAACTTAATTGCTTAGGGCATGCTATCGTTACCCCCTACGCTACCTTAGCGAATACCGATACCCGAACTGCCGCAATAGCTCCTTAATACTACGACTAGCCCTCGTACGATTAAGGCGTCTCGTAGTGCTATACAAGCTTGTAAGGACTTCCGACGTTCTTATCTAAAACTAGCCCTATAGGGTATCGATCCTATATTACTATTATTTAACCTATTTTCCTCGTTACCTATAAAGCAAGTAGAAGAAGCCTATACTATCTTAGTTAACGCGGCTATCTGTAAAGGCGAGGAATATAAGCGTAAATACTAGTCTACGAGCATTATTAAGCGAGCAAAGAAGCGATAGAAGGAGCAGCCTAATCGGCTTATAAGGGTAGGTGCTATCGAGGCGAATAAATTGCGCTTACAAGTTACGTAACAAGACAAGGACCTAGTTAACAATAACCGCCGGAAGATGTTATAGGAGGTATAGAATACTATTAGCAAGGCACGCTTATATCGGCTTAAGTGCAGTAAGGCCTTCCGTATCGTATTTAATAACAATAGCAAGACTAAATAGACAGACGTTAACCTTTAGTCTATCGATAAGCCGCTATAGCGTATCTTCGACCTATAGCTTCTCGATAGCAATAATACCTCGAAGAAGACTAGTAATCTATATGCGACTATTCTTAGCGATTACAGGCGCCGCACCGATATAACTAATAGCGGTATAGTTACCTATAGCTAGAGTAAGCTAAGGATACTGCTATTGCCGACTCGTACTTATAACTATAAAGGCGATATTATAGTATAGACTATTAAGCCAAAGCGGCGACTAAATAGCCTATTCGCGTAAGAGCCTAATACTCGATTAGACTAGCTCTAGCAAGACGAGGCGCTGCTTAATAAAGATACCGTATATACTGCAATTTAGCCTTATTTAGTACCTCCTCGTCGCCGCTACGAGTCTATACAAAGCAAGCGATATTTCTACGAGCCTCCGAAGAAATCTAGTCGTTACAAAGGCGCGGTTGCTAGTAGCAAGAACAACCCTATTAAGCTAGAAGAGGTAGATAGTAGATATAGTAGTAGTTAGCTATTTACTTAGCAAGAAGAGGTAGTAGTTATATAATAGACATATAGGCCGACCTGTAAAGTGATTAACTATATAGTTGACGCGAGGTATACGCGGAGGCCGATTGTTAGCCTATTCTAACTACCTGTAGTCGCAATTTAGTCGCTAATATACCGGAAATCTACTGCTTCTTAACCCTTATCGCACTTATATTCAATTTCCCATTATATGTGCTCTACAACATTATTGTTATCGAATTTTACGTGTGGCCTACTAAGAAAAAGCGATTTTACGTATAGCTTGAATCCCCGAGCTAGGGCGAGGGGTGAAGTGGGCTGACGCAACCCCGGATAATCGATGGACAGCTGAGCGGGTGAACTGTGGAAGATCGAAGGGAGTGTATACACACGCGAAGACACGAAATGAGACAATTTGGCCATTCCCGAGTCAATACACCGAGCCGGCTCATTCAGCCTCCGCAGGCGCATTTCTCCGCGTCGTTATATACCTTCGAGGCCCACACAGCTCGTGCGACCAAGGTATTCATGATACGCATCAAAGAATGGTCCAGGAACGTTTCTAGCGCTCACGCTGATTCTAAGTGTGTCACGACCAGGAGCACATCATGCTCTAGTAGTCGCTGCAGGCGCAGGAGGAATCTGATCACGGGCAAGCCACAACTTGGCCCAGTGCCGCTTCGGCGGTGTGCATTCGCCGTGAGCATTGATTGATTCAAGACTTCTCAAGATGGCAAAACTGACGCTTCGTCTGGCTCGATTCCTGCAGCCTTCACACACACACACTAAGGCAGTCTTTATTGATGTCTCAATGTACGACGACAACAATATACATGCAACGGAGCTCACATGACGTGGCAACATCTGTTTCGTCTCCAGGCAGTTACTGATATGCGTGCGGCGCGACTTTGTACTTCCAGAATGTTTCTGCGCAATGCCCATAGACCATGTTTGCTTTGGTGCGTTTGTGCAAAGCTTTGATCTGGGGGTAAAGATGGTCAGCAACAAGCGCAGTCACGCAGCAAGTCAGAAGCACAATACCATCTGATGAGAAGCGACCCAATCATCATGGTCACGAGCCAGCCAGCCCTGGGGCACGTCTGCTTCGTAATTCTCGTGAACATGGTATTGATCCGTCGTGAAAATCCAGGTTCTATGACACCCATGTTAACTGAAAAGTCGAGGCCGCTTTGGTGCCATATACATTACCCGCTCTCCCTAAGATTGACTTGCATGATCATTAATCCCGGCGTGTGTCCCGGAGAATGCCTCAAATTAATGCCAGGAGCGAGTTCCAAAAAGCTACCATGTACTGCCTTCCAGTTCAAATTCGGATCCAAGTCCTTGGGTAGATAAACACCCAGATCAGACTTGGTAGCGACGGAGTAGAAAGCATGCTTGATCTCCTTCTCGTGAACATAGATTGGGACGTCAGTGCCCTTGAAGTTCTCCAGACCGCCAGCATGGTCGATATGCAGGTGGCCCATGATCACAGCCTTCACGTCCTTGATTTCGTGGCCAGTCTTGGCGATTTGAGCTGGTAGCTCATGCTCCTCGGTGTAATCGCATCGAGCGAAAATGTCATTGGTAGGTGCACCCCAGACTTCAGGGTAATTTTGCCCGGCACCGGTCTCAAACAGGATGAGACCTTCAGTGGGATGCTCGATGAGCACGGAGATGATTACCATCTTGCGCCGAGGAGCTGGCTTGTCCGGTTGAGAGGCGGTGTTGGCTGTGACGCCACGCACGAAGAAACCATCATCTGAAGCATACGGAGTTAGGCAAGGTCTCAGACATGTTGTATGCCTTGTGGTCGTTCGATTTACCTGCTTCGATGTTTCCGCAGTGTAGTAACTATCAAGACTCGACATGAGCAATCTATCTATTGCATTATCCCGACGATCTCATTTACCCATAGCTTCGTGCCCTTCTATCTGTAAGTCTGATGTCATCCGTTTTCAACATCCATACTTACTGGCGGTGCCTGGTTGACGATGTCAAGACCGAAAGGAGCTGCCATTTCGCTAGTTTGAAGAAGAGATGGTGATTGCGAGCACGATTTGTGCAGTCTGTTGTAAGCTAGGGTGAGGAAGATGGAGGTAAGTATGTTTCCAATGCCTGGAGCACCAAGTCAGCCCTCGGTCCGGCTCGTAGTATTGCACCTGCTGGTCCATGTCAAGAATCAGTCAGCTGATGAGTGCATGGCAGTCCTCCCCTCGTCCGCTCCGAATGTCATTTGTGGCATTTTTGTGGAGCAGGCAAGCTCATTATTACCTTCCAAGAGCTCAGAGCTGAACGCCAAAAGTGGCAATTTTGCGGAACGCCATGCCTGAAATGGGAGAATCTCTGTATTCATCTAATCATGATATTTCATGGACATAATTTCTTCCATTCCGGCGCTACGGAGCAGATCCAAGGCAGTCGGTGAGAGATGTCGGGTGATAGGTTGCAGAGCTTGGGCGGCGGCGGATAGAATAGGCACGAAAGAGGCAATACCTGATGTCTATTAGCGTCACGCGTTCGAGTGTGCAAGTGACTGATAGATAGCAATTTTCCCAGCACTGACTTCCGAGGGCCATTCCATTGATTCTTGCACGCCATGATTCCACGTAGGAGGGACGGGGCGCAGCTGAGCAGCATAGTTGGGAGTCAGCGCGGCATTAAGATGCTCGTTGCTGTAGGACTAGGCGATTCCAGATTTGCCGACCTGCCAGGAGAGATGACACAGTGCTGGCCGAGCCGACGAAGACCAGGCCGACGGGGATCCAGCCCACGGCAGAGCCGGGAATGAACAGGTCGCAGCAGTCAATGATCAGCTGTGTATAGACGCGGGAGTCGATTGCAGGCGTCACGACGGCCGGCTTCTGCTCCGGCGTTTCGTCAATTTGCGTGGGCGCTTTGGCGGTGGCCGACAAGATTCGGGATGCGATCTGCCATAGGCCGAGGATGATGGAGAGTACGAGGGCGTAGAACCAGGCTTTGTTGGCTTCTCTTTGCACGTTTGCCGCCCATTCTGACGCGGAGACGCCGAGTGCATTGCCCTGCGCCATCTGAGCTTTCCGATGCCGATGCCTCGCGCAGATGCAGGCAGGCAGGCAGGCTGGCTGGCTTACGATGCTTCCCATCTCGAGGAAGAAGTAGAGGCCCAGGAAGGAGCATTTGCCAACTTCAAGGAGCGTGATCACAGGCGCCTGCTGCTTGCGGAAGGCGTGCAAAGCGGCCACCCAGCACGGATGCCATTTCAAGAAGCGGAAGTAGCGTCGGCCTGTGTCACGGTGCATCAGTGTTCCGCCATCCGCCATCCTCCGACCATCTCCTCGACAAACACACCCACCCAGAGCGAACTGCGCTCGCAATTTGAGCACCGTGTCGACGTCGTCAGCAAACGCCGGCAGCCCGCATGCGATGGTGCAGAAGCCTTGCAACAGTCTCAGCAGCTTTTCCAGCCCAGCCGCGTCATCTGCATATCGAACGAGGCCGGCGAGAAGCATCATCGCGAAGCACAAAGGGAAGTGACAAGTCCTCGTGTCTGGTCCTCGGAAAGTTTTCGTTCGCGTCGCGTCACCGCACGGCTGACAAGGCGAACGAACGACCGGGATGTCGATGTCATCCCTGATCAGCCCCTCCGAAGACTTCGCATCTCAACCTCAACCGCGGGACAGACTTCGGATCGGAGTGACTTGGCGGGATTATGAGTCGGATAGCAGGGCGGACATCGAGGCATCAGCATCAACGCTATGAAGGATTGACGGCCCAGCTACAACTATCGCTCGAGGTGCTCAGCAGGCTGGGAGCAAGAGGGAGGCCGGAAACTTGAAAGGACATGGAGCGCAGGAACAACATTCTGCATGGGAGAGAGAACATACCTCGCGTAGCAGAGAAAATACCATGCGTAGCAGAGAATATCCCACGCGTAGCAGAGAACATACCACGCGTAGCAGAGAACATACCACACTCTACGCGACGACGTCTACCTAGTATGAGTAACGGAAGGCTGGGTTCTCGAAATCCGTCTTGTCCTCCATGATGCCCTCCGTGAGCTGCGCACCTTCTGGCGCCCGTCCATACATAGCATCTCGCTTCCTGTTCCGCCGTATCAGCATCGCCCGGATGATGAACGACAGCACGATTTGGCCAGAAGCACATGCCATAGTTACCGTGCATCCCGTGGAATAGGTCGGTGCCTCGCTCTGGAGGAAAGCATGCGGTCCGATGATATTGCCCACGCAGTATGCGAGGAAGACCAGCGCCGTCGCCGTAACTCGCTTGCTGTACCCGCCGACGTTGTTTGCAGGCAGCTGGAGAGCGATGACAAGAGAAGCCACGTATGCCCCCGAAATGTAGTTGCAAACCAATAGGCCTTTGTTATGCTCTGCGGTGTGCGGAAGCTGCCACAGCAAAGCCGTCGCAAGAATCGTTGGGCACACGTACAACGCCATGATGTACGTTCGAATGTTCTTGAATTTACTCGCCAACCAAGGACCTCCGAAGACGAAGAAAACCTGCCACATTCCTGTCGGTATGCCGTACGCCGTCGTCAGAAGCGGTCTGCCCCCGGCCAAGCCCTTGATAATGAGCTTGGAGAAGTTCGCCAGACCGCCATTCACCGTCTCGTTGAGCAGTACGAAGAAGAAAAGTAGCCAGACCTGAGGATCAACCAATGCCTCCTTGACCTGACCCATCTTAATGGTCGCGTTGAAGACACCGGTTTGGTTCTGCTGCGCTCGAGCGATCAGCGTGGCTTTTTCGTGCGAGCTAAAGCGCTTCGCCGTCATGATGTTGTTCGGCAGGAAGAATAGCATCATGACACCCCAGCACACTGTCAACCCACCGGCGAGGAGAAATATGATTCTCCACACGTCCCAGCCCTTGGCCTGACCAACCGCGAAAAACAGAATCCCACCGACCGATGCGCCGACACCATTGAAGCAGTAGAACAGTCCGGCTCGAGAAGACTGCTCCTTGCGAAGATACCACTGGCCGACGATCATCATGAAAACTGGCGTGATCAGCGACTCGAAGCAGCCGAGCAGGAATCGGCAAATGGCTAGTCCGACGAAATTGTGGCTCGATGCCATGATCATGAGAATGCTGCCCCAGCAAATGATGGCCACGGACACTACAGTACCAGTCGGTAGCTTCTGCGCAACATACGACATGGGCCATTCTGCGACAAGATAGCCAAAGTAGAAAATGCTCACAAGCCAGCTATACTGCTTCTGCGTTGTATTGGTACTCTCGAACAAGTCGAAGACGGCCGCATATGACAGAGACTGGATGGAACATCGTCAGCATCGATATCTCATCGAACGTCTACCACCATGCTTACCTGCTTGTCGATATACTGGAGCAGATACGTACCGCAGAGGAGCGGCATCAGCATCCAATCAACTTTCTTGACCAGCTTCTTGATGCCGGCAGTGTCTGCCAGCATGGCATTGAGATCATCGTGCGAGATGTCATTCGTTCGAAGGAATACTTCAGCCTGATCCAGGTCCTTGATTTCGCCCTCCTTCAAGCTTCCACTTTGTGACACGGTTGTCTCCAGGCCACCCTTTCCTAGACTATTCTTCTCCGCCATTTGGATGTCGTGCTCTTGCGAAGTCGTCATTCTTGCTTCCTGTTCTATTCGCTCCTCTCAAGGACGTTTGAAAGCCAGCCAAAAGGCGACGCAAGAGCAGGCGGCATCGAGTAAATAGATTTCAGGAGCACATCCGCCACTGCATCGCGACCTGTTTCCGAGTCCTTGCCCGCAAGAATCTTGCCCGTCCTGGATCGCCTATCAAGACCCCGGGATGATGAAAGCGGCATGTGGGCAAATGTGCATTGTGCATTGTGCAAATGAGAACGCCGAGCAATAGCCGTGGCGCTAGAATGGCGCGCACCACAGAAATCCTGGCGCGCTCGAGCACCGAGGCACACGGAATCGTCTTCTGTTTCTGCATGAAGTCGTTGTAAAGATGTCGGACAGGAAAGGCGTACAAGAGTCTGATATTGCACGGCCTCGGCGGAATTCAAGGCATCAGTCTCCCATTCCGAGATCCACAATCCTTCTGGCCTCGTTGGTCGCGTTCTTGGTCGGTTACAATTTTGTTCCCAGTGTGCATCGGAAGGTTCAGACCTTTTTCTCTCTGGAGAAATGGAACATCGATACCCACCCAGAGGTCACAATATCTCAAGGCACATTCATTGGCACGCTATTGGAAAGCAACAATCATCCGGTACCTATCGAGGCATTCCTTGGCATTCGGTACGCAGAGCCACCAGTTGGAGAACGACGATTTGCTCGAGCTGTACCTCTGCCGGATAGCAATGCTACGATTCAGGCTACGGAATACTCTTCACGTTGTCCTGGGAAACAGCTACTCCGGATCCCAGCGACACCTTGGCTCGAACCGTCCGAAGACTGCCTGACTCTCAATGTCTTTCGATGGAGAGGCAGCTTCCAGAACGCCAAGTATCCCGTCCTCGTATATTTCCATGGAGGTGCCTTCAACAGAGGCTTCGCTGCCATGCATGATACCGCCTCTATGCTGGCCAATTCCGAAGAGCCCTTCATTGCAGTATCCTTCAACTACAGGATTGGCGCCTTGGGCTTCTTGAACAGCCAGCTTACAGCCAAGGAGGGTCAGCTCAATCTCGGACTGCACGACCAGAAGCTGGTACTCGAATGGGTTCAGAAGCATATCGAAGCTTTTGGCGGTGACCCGAACGATGTAACAATCGCTGGTCTTTCGGCCGGTGCCCACAGCATCGGCCATCATATCTTCGACATCAATGAGAAGAGAGAGCTCTTCCACAAAGCCGTCATCGAGTCCGGCGGCGCAACATCAAGAGTCGTCCACCCAGCAGACTCCAAGCTTCACCGGGTCCAATTTGAGAAATTTGCCGCTGAAGTGGGATGTGACCTCCAGGAAGAAGCTTTGATTCTGCCATGCCTTCGCCAGGCTTCCACGGAGGCCGTCCAGGCTGCCCAAAGCAAGATTTTCGATGAATACAATCCTAGCGTGAGATGGGCCTGGCAGCCAGTTCTCGACGATGAGATTATATCTCGCCGACCACTCGATGCATGGAAGTCTGGCAGATGGCACAAAGTCCCAATCATGACTGGCTTCAACCATAATGAAGGTACCATGTACGTGCCCAAGAAGATGTCCGACAGCAGCGAATTTACCAGCTTCTTCGCGACACTTCTGCCACAGCTGAGCAAGAGTGATCTCAAGGCCTTGAACGAGCTTTACCCAGATCCTGCCATGGACAAGGCATCCCCATACGTTGACACGAGGAACATATCCGCGCTTGGGGTTGGCAAACAATATAAGCGAGTCGAGGCAGCCTACGGCCAGTATGCTTATGTGTGCCCCGTGCGCCAGACAGTCAATTATGCCAGCCAAGGCCAGGGGCCATCAGTGTATCTCTACCACTGGGCTCTGAACAGGACCGTCCTCGGTGGTGCAAACCACGGTGACCAAATCTTCTACGAAACAATGTCGCCCCTCGTGCGTGAAATCTCAGCGACTCAGGATGAGCTCGCCAAGAAGTTCCTGTCTTACGTGACCTCATTCATAACCACTGGTGATCCAAACGCTCTTGAAGGACGGAAAGCAGTGCAGAGACCCAGATGGGAGCCATTCAGCAGGTCTGATGGTGGTGGTCGAACCATGATCTTTGGTCTCGGCAACGACGAACCGGCCGGCGGGGACAATGTTGGGGTTGCTGCTCAATTTGTACACGATCAGTGGGCGAAAGGAGCTTGCGGTTTCTGGTGGGCAAAGTCAGAGGTTCCGGAGGACTAAGCGATTGCGATGTCATATGACTTGAGACGAGTATAAATTTGAAAACAAGGCATGCTCCTGGGCACATTGTTGTAGATGTACCGTTGAATATCGACAGTCGCGAGACTCATTTAGACGAGACCGAGATCCTTCTCGCCGTGAAAACCACAAAATACGGATCTTCGACAAAGTCTTTCCAGAATTCCGGGTCTTCTTGGAATAGCTCCGTTTCCTTTGGATCTAAGTTCTGTACGTCGATGACTCCGAGCGTGTTGGGGATATATGTGTCGCCTCGCAGGCTGATCTCGGTGGAGCAAGAGTAGAAGGTGAAGGGTGGCTTGGTATTGACCAGGACCTGGCACCTCACAGCGCGTGTCGCTGTCTGTTCGATGAGGGTTGCCCTCGCGCCATATTTGCCATCCTGGACGCAGCGGGACCATGGATTCTGGATTCTGGCGCCAATCATTCGGCCTCCGGGCTTGAGGTATGCAGCAATGTTTCTCCACATAGAGACCAACTCCTCCACTGTCTCTATGTGATCGAAAGGAAATGAGCCCATGATGATATCGTAGCCTTGGATCGGTAGCTCTTTGATCTGCTCCCACAGAGGCAGCACTATGTCGCCGCGATACCAATGGATTACCTCTCGACCAGCCTCAGCCTCGATCTTCTTTCCCACTTCCATCATCGCCTCGCTGATATCAACAACATCGATTCGATCGGCTCCCCCTTCAATTGCAACGCGAGCATGGTCTCCAGTCCCACCGGCAATGTCGAGAATTCGGAGTCCAGTGCAGTTTCCGAGTGCCTTTGATATCAAAGCCTTCTCCATCTTGCCATGTGGGAGGTCCTTTGGGCTGACGTACTGCTGGGCGATACCATCATACTGGGTGGGTTCGAATCCAGCGTAAGTTCCAGGCGTTTTCCGTCTACGCGAGCAGAGTTCTTCAGCTGTGCACAAGAAAGCATCCGCATCGAATGCTCGAGCAATGCTTTCGGTATGCATGTTGACCGTATTATTGTTGCTGATCCGTGATGATCAAAGCGGCTGATGTAGTCAGGCGGCTGTCTCAGCGCGTATATCTATGGTGACCGCAGTAGCCACGGAGATCGGATGCGTTTCAGCCGCTCAAAGCTGGCGAGTGAGGTGGCCAAGACAAAGCATCACTGGGTTGCTCTTCCTGGTGCAGGGTTGCGTTTAGGAAGGCTCCCAGACAAGCGATCTGGGGAATTGGCCAGGGACGGCGATGGAAGCGAGGTAGGTCCGCCAGTCAGAACTGATGTCATGTGCTGCAACAGCCTTGGACCCGAGCACGGCGTGGTCTCGGAAAGCGATCCTTCTGAATTGCCTTCACTGCCCAGCCCACGGCTTCGGGTGCTCAGCGTGCCGAAGATATTTGGGTGAACACGGAAAACGTGACGATCCATGTCAAATGCTTGGTTTTGACTTTGACCACATTATTATCAACAACCTCTCGCCAACTTGGCTTACTCGCACCGTCTGATGACTGTGACGAGCTATTTTCGATGTAGTGCATCATCCTGGCAGGTATATATGACGGCGGGATGGCCTCAGAAACACAAACTTCAATTTCTTCGGCTACGTACGGACGGCTCTGCCTCTGAGACACGCGGAAGTGGTGATCACACCTCCGACAGATGCTCTTCGGAGGATTGACATGATCCGCTTCTGGTCAGAGTTCTGTTCCAGGCCATGCACACCGACGGGCAGACACCTACTCTCCCGGCTTGAGGGCATCAGCCAGCGGAACTGGTTGGAAGGGATAGCCGATGTTCGCGTATGATCATGGATGACGATGGCAGCGACGAATCACGCTCGTTTTGGCTTCGAGCTGCCGCCTCGACTGGTGGAGACAATGATGCTGATGGCAGAGAGGAGCTCCCAGGCGAGCACCGGATAGATTGACCCGCGCTGCCACAGTCCAACAGGTGTCTTCCAATCCCATTCGGGCAGGGCAAGGAAGCGATAGAAGCTGTACAGACCACTCATGCCCAAGCCAAGGCTGAGAGCTCTGAAGGCCGTGGGACTTTCGTGGCGGCCCAAGTGGGTGGCGACAAGGGCAGAGAGGATGGAGTTCAGATTGCCCGCGATGGAAACCAGCGCCAAGCCGGTCCAGTGCCATCCGATGATCTTCCAAAACTTCTCGCGAGGGCCGCCATGGATGCAGCCCAGAAGGAGCATGCCAGCAGCGAACAACAGGGTCAGCAGGAAGCGGAAGGTGCGGAGCGTGGCAGTGTGTTGCGTGGCACGCGTACGGCTGGCGTACAAGAGGACGAGCTGGGCAACAGCGAAGATGGCGCCTGCTTGGAAGAAGTTGTAGTTTTGTGCTGCGAAGCGATGCGAGGTGACATTGTAGTGTTTCAGGGGATGGACCTGTCGGTAGTCGACGCCCAGGTCACTGAGCGACTCGATGGACCAGTCGTACCTTCGCTCGCCATGCTCGAAGCCGGACTGCGCGTAAAGCTCCAAGAAGGCCCAGCCCGCAACGCTCGCCACATACAATGCCGCGGGGAGCAGCACGAGCATCGATCCGGACGTCGGCGCGTGGGCGTGGGCGTGGGAAGCCATTCGGGGGTGGGATGAAGAGGGAGAGCAGCGTGGTGTGGGGGAGGAAATGCTGCGCTGCGGTCGATAAATACAATACCGTCGGCGTGAGAGGGAGAGTGCTGGCCTACCACGTTAAATGCTCGTCGCCCTCGCCCTCGCCCTCGCACCGCCCCGCCCCGCCCCGCCCCGCCCCGCCCCCTCATCTCACAAGGTAAAGGTATCGCCGCCGGTGCCTTCCTTGTTCGGGCTTTTGCGTTTGCGCCGGCCGACGTGACCCGAAAGTCTAAACGACATCTCCGTCTTCGTTGTCCTTTCCTCCTTCTTGCTCCTGATGGATCATGTCAGCTGCGACGGGACAGACGGGTGACAGCACGGAAGGTCTCGTGGAGGATGCGATGTCATACGTGGAAAAGCGATGAATGTCATTATTGACCAAGGCCATGCATGCCCCATTCCATCCCTTTGTAGTTGCAATTTTCATGCCCAATTCTAAGGTTTCCGGCTAGAAGGGGTGGCTTCGGGTGCGGCAACCTACGCACTGACCAAATTATTGCCTTAGCATCAGATAGACCCTGCTCTTATAGTAGATAGTATATGAATAGCTAGCTCTTTTATATAATAGTATAGCTTTAGGTCTCTTTAGTATATTTCCTTAGTTAAGTAACGACCGGCTTACTAACGAATAGTAGCAATCGGACGAGGAAGAAATAGTAGCTATAGATAGTGGTTTGTCGGCTCGAGTAGTAGCAGGGGAAGCGGATTCGTATAGTAGAGACGAGTCGTTCGATTCTAGTAAGTTTATAGTATATAATAGTACTAGACTTCCTAAGGAATAGAACTTCTAGCCTCTATAACTACCTAATAGTGCAAATTCGTACTAGTAGCGGCAATTTCGCATCCCCGAGGTCGATAGGCTATTAATACCGGAAATGGAACCTAATCCGGATTATCGGTATACTACTACTAGTAATAATATATATAAGGAGTACGAAGGACGTCGAGCTAAGTTCGGCAAGGCGTAGGACCTTCCTAGGCGCGTATAGGAGCTGTTTTAGACGGCGGAGGTGAAGGAGATAGTTACTAGCTTCTTAAATAAGTATATTTAATAGATATAAGACTATAGACTTACTAACAAAGATAAGAGGCAAGCGGCTAACGTAAAGGTTATTAAATCGTCTAAACTAGACATCTTCCTCGGTCTAGTATATTATATTAGCGTAGTCGGTTAGAATACGCTAGGCGACTATTAGGCGGATAATCTATTAATACCGTACTACCGAGTAACGAGGTTTATAAGGAAACGACGGTTTATATAAGGAAATAGGTATATAGCAACGTATAGAACACCCTCTACTAATCGCCGTAGTAGAAAGTAGAACTAAACCGTACCTTTCTTAGAACAGGGCAGAGTGTTTACTATTAACTAGGCTACGTACGGATAGCATATATACCGAGCCGGTAACCGAGTATATCCGTACGAGCGACCGAGCTTTTCCGCGTATACGCTAAGCAGGCTTTGCGCTAGCGAGACAGCACCGTAGTATACGTAATAATATCACATAATTGTTATATAGGCTTGCTAAGGCATAATAGGAGACTTTACTTACTTAGGTTCTTATAATTATCTCCTTCCCCCGGTATAGCTATCCTAGCTATAGGGTAATATAGTAAATTATACTATTTCTTATACTCTGCGCTATACTTGCGCGTCTTATACGCACCTATCGCTAGGCTATAGTTGCTAGGCACGTTATGATTTGCCTCGTAGTTGCTTATTTGTTTGTAGATTTAAAGCGCGGCTACTTCTAGCACTAACTAGAGGTTGCTTAAATTTCTAAGAACGCGGTAGCTACGCGAGAACGCAAGCTGTCCGAAAGCGAGGCGAGTATTTAAAGCATTCGAAGCCCGCTTAAAAACTTCTTCTTTTCCTAAGCGCTCCGAATACCCCCCGCCTACCCTCTACCTACTCGTATCTTATGCCCCCCTAGTATTACTTAAAGATTTTTCTTTTTTGAATATCTATCTAAAAAAATATTACTAGTATATCTACTCCTTCGCGTGCCTCGGGCAAGCGCGCCGTAGGCGCTCCGCCCTCGATACCTACTACGCCTACCTAGCGCCCTCTAAAAGTCCTAGAGGGCTACACCTATTGCTTTAAGCATATAACGGCTAACGGTACGTATTCTCGCTACTTACTACGCGCTTGCGCTTCGTAACTAACTCGCTTTAGTAGACCTAACTAAGGTTTGTATAGGTAGCAATATAGACCCTACTACTAAGCGTAACTACGATCGCTGCCGCGGTAGCTATTATACCTATACTCCGCTTACGGCCCGCTTACTAGTGTCGCTGCTAGCGCGTATTCGCGCCGCACGCTCTACGCGCGACCTATACGACCTAGACGGCTACGACTCTATCGAGGAGTCTAACGAGGCCTTAGAGGTACTCTAGGCCGAGCTAGACTCTATAGTCGTACGTATGTTCCTTATACGCTCCGCTTGCGCTTCGTATACTAACCTCGACGTTAGTTATCCTATCTGCGCTATACGTCTTTTATACTAATAAGAATAAGGTAACCCCTAGCGGCAAAGCCCTAGCCCGCAAGGGGGCCGCTAGCGGGTCCCTTACGGACGTTAACCTGCTCGGTGCCTTCGAGTACATCGGCACTAACCTAGCTAGTTTGGTAGAGATTAGTCGTTAGGTATAGTTTTTCCTATAGCCTTGTTTCGCTTACGCTTCGTATACTAACTGCACTAGAACCTCGCTTAGCGCGTCGGCGCTAAGGCCGTCGCCGCTATCGATGCCGCTATAGGTATCGAAGAGGAGGAGGAGGCTAAGGATTCTAAGGATAAGTAGGGTAGGCGGTCCGCCGTCGCCGCGCCTATACGGCGCCTTCTTTATATATACTAGGCTAATAGGCCTTTTTTAGTAGCGAAACGAGTACGTATCTACTATTTTTTCTTAAGTTTTATTTTCTTTTGTTTTAATTACTGCCTACGCTTGCGCTTCGCTTAAGCTTCGAACTCGTCTAACGCTATAGAATCTTTAATATAAATAGCTAGCTCCTAAGTGTTGTATTCTTTAGGCTAACCTCGCTACTTAATAAGGTAGTACGCCTTCCGCTTCTTTATCTTCTTTGCTACGATTGTTTCTACCTACTACTTATTGCCTTTAGCGACGGGTATGCTTACCTTATGCTCCTCGCTATCGCGCCTATACTAAGGCTCGAGGAGGGAAATATAGAAAACATTGTAGATCTTTATGCTTAACGGTAGTGCTAGGCGGTACGCCTACGCTCTAACTGCGTTAATAATGCGGAAAGGCCCTATATACTTCGGGCTAAGTTTCTTCTTTAGGACATCTAAGCTAATATTCTTTATCGATAGTAAGACTAGGTTACCTATACTATATGTCTTAGCAGTGTAGTGTGTATTATATTACTTGGCCTAGTATTCTGCTGCTTTCTACTAGCGTTCCGCAAGCGTTTTATATACTTGTTATAGTCGCTCCGTAGCGTCGATAGCTACTAGTGCCCTTCCCTTAGTTAGCTCGTCCCGAGCTAGTAGCTTATTTGCGCTCGGTATCAAATTAGGGTTAAAGCCGTAGAGTATCTTAAAGGGGCTTATACGCAACGTAGGATAAACGCTATTATTGTAGGCAAACTTAGCCTAAGGCAATAGTTTAGCCTACTTATCCTAATTCTTAGAGTAATAGTATTGTAGGTATTACTCGAGGGTCTAGTTCGCGCGTTCGGTTTGCCCGTCGGTCTAAGGATAGAAGGCTATACTAAGCCTGCGCTTTATATGCGCTTCGAAGCAGAAGTCGCTCTAAAACTAGCTAGTAAATAGCGATCTACGATCGCTAACAATGCCTAATAGCACTCTAAAACGCCTAATTACCTCCCTTTAAAGGATATCCGCGAGTTCTACTACTATATACTTCTTCGTCGTTAGGATAAAGAGGCTTATTTTCGTATAGCGGTCGACTATTACGAGGATCGTAGTATATACGTAGGCACCGAGCTTGCTCGGCGGGAGATCGGTAATAAAGTCTATCGTTAATTCTTGCTATAGTCGGGTTAGTATAGGCAGCGTAGCGAGCTCGCTATATAGGCGATAGCGCTTCGCCTTCGACTATTAACAAATTCTATAGGTGCAGACATAGGCCGTAATATCCTCGGCTATTTTCGGCTAGAAGTACTTTCGGCGTATTAGGTCTATAGTCTTAGCTATACTAAAGTGTCTAGCTAAAGGGTCGTCGTAGTATATACATATTAGCTACGTACGCAATGCGTAGTCCTTAGGGACATATAGCGTATCGCCGTAGTAAATAAGGTTACCCCGACGAGAATAGCTAGGCGGGAGGTTAGAACTACTTAACGAGGCTAAGCTACCCGACGGTAAGCTTATCTCGTATAAGCCTCCTCCTCTCGCTTGCTCTAACTGTTATAGAGTGCGTACGAAACTAAGGATTATATTAGGCGTCTCGTAGTAGGGCCCGTTATTCCTAACGATAGTAGCCGCTACTCTTACGGGACTGCTAATAAAACTCTTGCGTTCCGCTAGCGCTATACTAGCGTCTCGCATCCCTATATATATAATAGAGATACGTTTTACAATCGGCTCGATATCCTTAGGCAGATTTAACTATAGAGCTAGTTTCGACTGTAATATAGGAAGAAGGTTATTTACTGCTTACGACTCGCTCTCGTAGTCGCTGCGTCGTAAAGGTACATCGGCTAGATTTCGTTTACTAGCCCGATGTTTAATAGTAAAGTCGAAAGGTATAAGGAAGGTTGCCTATCTTGCCTGCCTTCCGATAAGCTACTTTATCTTTATAAAGCCCTTAAGATTAGCGTAGTCGATAACTACGCGGGTCGTATACTAGGCGCTGTCGAGGTACGGGCGCTAATGCTTAAAGAACTCGACAACCGCTAGGAGCTCCTAGTTATAGGTCTTATAATTTGTCTCGGCTAGGACTATTTTTCGTAACTAGAAGGCAATAGGGTACCAATTCCTATC